AAACTAAGAGAGAGTGTGAGACAACAAGCAAATGTGTAGCACAGCTGTAAACTGAATTTGAATCCTGATCTAACCAAACTAATACGCAAGCCTCAAATAATCTGTCCTTCTCCTGCAGTAATTGCTGTATTTATCATCGCAATGCTTCAGTTGTTTGCTTTCCAAAATATAAGACAGTTATTAAAAAAATAAAATATCATCTGGAGAATTAACAATTCCAAAGTTTCTTTAGAACATTTTGGTGAATTTTTAAGCTTTGCTTCTGCCAAACCAGACCAAAGTATAAAGTAAGAGCTAAGAACAGACCGCAGCATGAACGTGCCTCAATCCTGGAAGAAGATGCTCTTAAAATCCACCCTGCTCCCATAGGGAACCACCACCTGTGTTCAGGTAAGTTTTGCAATGTCCCTGATACAAATATCCACACTCGATAAGCACTGTCAGGCAATTTTTTTACATTTCAAAACCAAGAGATAATTGCAGTCCATCACCAGCTGGCACCACTTAAGGCTCTGCCGGAAAGCTGAAGGATGCCAATGTCTGAACAAAGCAAACGCTCTCCTCACCACAGACAGGCTCTAAACGACCTTTATAAAACAAGGCACTCCAGAAAACACCAAGCTTCTATAGTAGGGATTTCTTCCAACCCATGGCATATTTGTGTCTGCTAGGTTGCTTTATGGGAGAGAAAGCAGCCTGGAGGAGCGGGACCAGCAGTGCCAAACCAACCATGAAAGTACAGCAACAAGTGAACAAATCCTTTCCTTCCTGCCAGAGGCCAAACTAAGGGAAAGAGAAGAAATGAAAATTAACAAAATACATGTGTTTTCAACAGCTGTATCTGTCATTTCAGCAAAAAAACTCAAAAATGTAAGAGACTATGAGATGACATACAGATGGAAAACTGATGGTGGGCATGCTACTGAATCTTACATTCAGGTGCTGAAGCCACACTGTCATACAGACTGACTGCTGATGTTAATGCTATGAGAAATCTTGTCTGTTAATCAAAGACTAACAAATAAACTTTAAGTATTAAAATGCTGGCTTTTTGCTATCTTCATATTCATTTCCTTTATACAGTCTCTATGATAGCAAAAAACCCCGTGAATGAAGCCAAAGACCACGACTCCAACTAACTGACTGGCAGAAATAATCAAGCCAATAGCACATGTTGCCCTGACACCTTGAGAAGGCAGCACATAACAATGAGAAGGGAACTAAATATAACACAAATATGGATTCAATTAGAATGAATTAAAAAAAAAAAACCCAACACAGTAAATTACTCTCTATGAAAGGGAAAATGCTTCAGGAGGTGAACTTCACTGCAAAATTTCCTTTGTGAAGAGACTGGAAGGTGAAGGACCTGACAATAGGAGTAAAATGAGGGGAAGACATGAAGCCTAGAGGGCCACTGAGGGCCCAGGCTCCCTCCCTGGTAGGAGCGCTGGGATGAGCCCCAGTGAGTGCTGTGCGAGTGAAGCAGCAGCTTCAAGGTCCAATGCAGGCAGCAGCAGGTGACCAGAGAGAGGACAAGTGCCACCTGGGGAAGAGCCAGAAGGTAAGATGACAAACCTCTGGGCAGAGAAAAACAACAAAGTAGGAAAGAACCAAAGCATTGTGATGAATATTCTTTTTCCTATCAAAAAGAGCAGCAAGGTTTGAAATTCCCACATAACTCTTTGAGATCCTTCCTTATTAAGACACATAAGATCTAATGAAGTGCCTCTCATGGTCCTCCACAGATTCCCTTTGCCCACAGTCAGGGTCACAATAAAACAGAAGAATTTTCACTTTACAATGTAAAATCCTGATCATATATTGTCTGACCAGATAACTGTTTAAAAAACAATCCAGGCACACAAATTATGTCTGTCTTAGCCAGTTCCTGACCCAAGTCAATGGTCTGTGCTCCACATTTGATCTGATCAGCACTGGTTTGATCTAAAGCTGTGAGTGCACAGGAGATCTTTTATCTGGCAGAATCACACAGGTATTCTTTTCCTAGAGAAAGCACCCATTTTCTATCATGAAATACAAATATTATGTGAAATATCCACACTTGGGGGAGAAGAACGTCAATATTTGCAGCTGGTTTCTGAAGTTGGTCTGTCCTTGATCTGGACGCATGAGTTGAGCCTGGACTTGCTGTAAATTGTAACCAGTCAAAACATCAGCAGCAATCCCAGCAGCAGGGAAATACACTGTAAGAATCGATCCCAAACAGTCCATAAGCGACTATCAGAACTAGTACATCCATCAGTAGTTTTATATCACAGTCAATAAAACAGAAAAAAAGTTTGAATAATCTGCATTCAAGAGCACATCGTTGAAGTAATCCTTATTATTTCCATGAGCAGGTTTCCCTTCCAATTTTACAAGATTAGCATATTTTAATGCTTACAAACTGTTTTATTCACTGAAAAGAAATTACCTTGTCAAAAGTACTCCCTTTAATAACAAAAATTACTTTCCAAACAAGACCACCCTACCAACTCTTTCCCACGGGCATTCTTTTCTACATTTAACTGAACAAGGTCCTCCTCTGATATAAATGAGCTTTCAGGATCAAAACTCCAGCACCAAGCAGCCAGGCAGCGTGATACACAAGTAAACACCCTGAAGTCCTACAACTGACAAGATGTAAAACTTCTCAAAAAAAGACCTGTGCACACTCCATAATAAAACACTGCATTTCTTTTAATTGGTAAAAAAAGACAGAAGCCTTAATTTGGAAAGAAACATTCCTTTTATTTTCGCTATTTCTAGGCTATTGCATGTTAAGAACAGTGCCTGCAGGAGACTCACACGTAGCCTGTGGTGCAAAAGCGCCAAGGCTGCGCCTTTCTGCTTCAGAACAAATGGCCCAGTGTGTTTTTTGAAGCCCGCCAATACAAAATAACCAAATCTAATCCTTTCAACTAACAGCACGCTCAGCAGATTGATTATGCCAGCTCACTCAGTAAAATACCTTTGGGTTTCTTGTGAGTACGTTTTATGAGCTACGGCAGTTCTAAGATTTCCAAAACCTCACATTTTGATAAACCAAAGATGTACCAATAGCAACTGAGTGCAGGGGTATCCCTTGCAGGTGAACTTCAGGTGGGAATCCTCTATGATGAGGTCTTGCCTAGCTGAAAGAGATTCCATCACAACACCTGGCAAGAGCATGACAGTTACCACTGAAAAATCCCAGGCTTTCCCCTAGGATGGAGCCCACTGAAGTTTCACTGACACACCTAAACAACGTGAAGCAGCGCTTCTCTACCAACAGACATTGCTAATATGTTGGACTTCTTGAAATAACTATGAATACAATTACCCCAAAGTGTGGGCGTATATGTATACAACTTTTCTTCCCCATAGTTTTAGTAGAAACTAAGGGCAATCGAGTATGAAGCCTCAGTAGTCAAAGCTGAGAGCGCAAGCAAAATATTTGCAATTTTAAGTATAAGCAAGCAGTATAGAAAAAAAATCTGCTTGGTAGCCTACTCAAATAAATTAGATCCTATAATATTCCTCCAAACTACGAGCAGATCCAAATAGTTTGAAACTATTTCCAAGTACTGAGGTCTGATATTTAGAAAGGTTTAGAGATCTATCTTGAGCAGAGAGAACACCTTTCCCATTTGAGAGTTTCAGAATGAAATTCATGGTGAGTCGTACAACTAAAAGGAAAATCAAATGGTGGTCCAACTGAAAGGGAAATGCTGCAGAAAAAAACCCCAAAAAAACAGCCATATGAGAAAGCAGCTCCAGAGCTCCTAACACCTAGCTAGCTCAGGATGTGAACTACAATAATCTGGGGTATCACAGCACGAATCGAAGTAAGCTCATCTGTCCAGCTTAAAGAGAAATCACTGAAAATCATCTTCAGGCAAAAGCATGTGAATCATTTTGGCTAATGAAAACATACCCCTCCAGCTGAAGAACTTACGTAAATTACATTTCTCCTAATTCTGCCAAAAACATTAAAGAAAATGGATTTGCCAAAGATAAAAGCAAAGTAGGCATGATAGATCATCCATTAGCAATACAAGTACAGCTAATTCTTCTTGACAGTGAAATGTCTTGGGATACAACCCACTTTATTTTTTTTACTAGATGTATGTGTTTAGATACAATATTTCCTACACATTTTATCCCCTTATATCTAGATTTCACTACCAGTGAATTTACTACGATCAGGCCTTAACAATAATGTATTAAGTAAGCGAAAAAATAAGGGCAACTTAAAGTATTTTAGCATACCAAAGGAAAAAAAAAAATTAAAAAGTTAAACAGGAGCTTTACAATCTCTGCAAGCACAGAAAGTAATTTAAAATGGTGCAAATTTATACAGTTAATATGAATTAATAACAAGAAGGAACAAGTCACATACTTATGGGGAATCACAAGGGGCAGAATTAATATTGCACTCTACTCACTGTTAGACCAACTAGTGAACAACTGGCCTGCTTTGGGCTTGACTTTTTTTCATAAATGAATTTTTGGTGTGCAAGGTTGTACTGCATTCTCTAGCATACAACTTCGATTTATTCATGTAAACGTCAGAAATCCATCAACAAACAAAGCCATATGGAAGAAAAAGAGATATAATGGATTTTGTGTTTGCTTTAGAATCTTGACATCTGTGGATAGCATCATCTAAGTTACAATCCAATCACTACTCATATTCTGGTCATTTTCATATACCAATCCAAAACGCATTTTATCTGATGATACAAAAAGCTCTGGGAGTGGGATAACAGAGAAGAAATCATGTTTTAAAAACTTAAAATGGGAATATACTTCAGTATTTTCCCGTTCACATCATAAATTCAGCGAAAAGCAAACTCACATCTGTTCTAACTTAGCTTTTAAAAAAACGAAGAAAACGTATCAGGATTATTTATATCTCGTTTGTATTTGTGGCAAGATTTTCGGAGCCGGACCGAGCCGCCGGTGGCACCTGAGCTCCGCAAAGTTCCCGGGGGGCCGGGCTGGGCGCTACTTACCCGCGCAGAGCAGGAGGAAGGCGGCTGTCCGCGCCGCCGAGCGCATCTTCCCCGCGCTGCTGCGGCCCCGCCTCGGCGCTCCGGGC